TTTTTTTTTTTATCATACTTTTTTTTTTTTATTAATCAACTTTAACTTCCATTTTAGCAGTCTTTAGTCGTGCATTTTGTTCATTCTTTCGCGCAATAATTCACCGAAATAAAGGAAAAAATATTGTGTCGATTGTCAAACAAATGCGTGTTAGTTATTATCATCATCATCATCGCTGTATCATGCTATTAATTATCGGAAGCCATAAAATGGGTTGAATATGTGTAATTATTAATTTGTTTTTTTTTTTTATTTAATAAAGAGTAGCCCCGAAAAACCATAGTCGCGTCCCCGTCGCGCTTTGTGTCGAACTATTAAGAATACATTGGTAATTAAATACTTCTTATACACCCATTGACAGACTAGCTACCAAGTTTTTTTTCGTTTAAATATATGTTTTTTTTTTTAAATAGATATTCAAGTAATTCATTCGTTAATTAATTAATAGTTCATTATAAGTATGATAATTCATAATTAGAATAATTAAAACATGTACCGAAGATTATAGTTTATCTCTCACGTTTCTTTATCCTTTTTTTTGTTTTAGTTAAAACCCCCCATCACTTCATCCTTTTTTTTTTATTTTTACGATTTTTTTTCTTTTATTATTCATTAAAGGAGTAAAGTGCGGTCATAATGTTTATTTTTTTTGTTGATCGTTGTGGCTCGCTTTTTGGAGTAAAATCTCGATTACTTGAGTATTTTTCTTTGTTTTTTCTTTAAATTATGTCTCACACATTTTCCGCAATCACTCACGCACTATTCGCACCCTCTTTCATTCGTTAAAACTGTTTTTCCGCGTTTTATTTTTTAAATTCTTGACTTCGTTACCTTGTCAATTTTTTTTTATCGATTTAAAGTGCACAATATGTATATAGTTTTGTTTGTTTTTTTCCTCTTCACATCATTTTAATTAGGCCTACAGTGAGCTAGAGCTGTCAAGCCGTGAGTTTATTCTTATTTTTTCATCGATATTTTCTCTCAACTGCATTGGTATTTTTTTTTTTTATTAAGAAAAACATTCAAGTTAATAATTCAAGGTCTTTGATAATCATTAAAATAAAAATTCCACGGAAATCTACATTTAGTCATTTCTATATTTAATATTGAAATTAATTGTTTAAATATTTATCGATAAATATTTTAAATTTGACCCCTGTGTGTTTGTGTAATTTTTTTTATTTATTTATTATTTTTTTTTTTTTAGTATTTTTTATTATTATTTTATAATAATTAAGTTTATCATTGACGAAGATTCACGATCCGAGGGAAAGATGAATCTGTCTACAGCACCATTGAAATTCCCCCGAAAAGCCCGCAAAAATCCGTTACTACCGAGACTCGAATAAACATCACGGCATTATTTTTTTTTCATTTATTTAAATATTTATTATTTATTATTCTTATTATTATGTTTTGTTTAAAAAAAATTGTTTTTGTCTTATTAGTTTTTTTTTCTTTCTCTCATATTCTCAATTGAACCACGCACCCTCCAGTCCCATCAAAGACCACGCCGAGCATCCCTCAGTTTATTTTAATTAATTTAATAATAATAATAATAATAATAATAATAATAATTGTATATAAATCCCCCACCAATTCGACAACAATGATCCATATCCCCACGTGTCATAGCCGGACGATTTCACATTCTTTTCAGGTGTGTAATACAAGTACTATTAAGTACAATATAATATAATGATTCTAATGATTAATATAATAATCAATAAATATAATATCATATCGCTTACATAAATAAGCTATGAACCCATGTTTGGCTTTGAATTTAGTTTAATTAATAATGATTCTACTCATGTAATTTTGAATATCTCTGTGGTTTTATTTTTTCTTTATTTTGTTTCGTGTTATGAATAAATATTAATTATCGATCCTCTAAAAAATTCGCACCATCTTTTTTGAAATATTTTACTTTTTTTTTCTATCATCACCATGTCCACAAATAAACGCGCACATCCGCTCAAAAATCATCCAAACTTGTGTCATGTTGTGGATCGATTTCAAATATCGACGTAATCGTAGCGATATAATAACTAACAACGATTATTGAGACATAAATACAATACACATAATAATGTATATCTAACGTAATAATCAGATTGAATATTATAGTTTAATTAAATAGATTAGCGTGGCTTTAATTATCCCTTTCTTTTTGTCATTACTGCATTACCTCAATCCTGCACATGGGTTTTGTTTAGCAATCAATTCATCAATACGAGCGCGATCTGTCTTGTGTCCGTGTGCTCTCTTGTATTTTACAATTAATATCAATTTTTTTATTTTATTATTATTCCCCTGTTAATTTTTTTTTTATTTTTTTTTTTAAATTTTATTTAATAAATTATTTAAATTATTTATTTTCGTCTCACTCACGTGCGTGTGCGTGGGGCCGAGGCTTTCCGGGGGGTCTGGGCTCACACTCAACTTTGTTGCTCCTCATTCTCACTCACAACAGTCTTTTTGTGAACAAAAAAGCAGTCTTTTGTACCAGACTTCGTTGTTCCGATTAAATTATTATTATTATTATAATATACTGAAGGAAGATTCACGGATTTCGAAGTGCTGGAACGTTTTTTTTTTACTTAAAACAATAAGACTGTCATTAGTAAGTGAAGTCAACAAAATTCGCGAGATTTGTGTCCTTCGACAATTTCCATTTTGTTCTATTCATTTTGTTTAAATATCTTAGCCTACTTTCTTTGGTTTGTGCGCTGCGCCCTGTAGCATTACATAGTACGATTTTTTTTTTGTTTATAGACCCCCGAGACTCTATTTCGACTCGTTTCTATATTAATTATTTTTTATTTTTATTTTTTTTTTCATTAACAAATTGATCTTCACTCATCGATTATCACATTCGTGCTTGCTTGTATCCTCATTATTTTATTCTACGTGTGCGCTTTTGTCATAAAACCAATTTCAGGCGCGTCGAGTGTACGCGGCTGTTTGAACAAATTATAATGTAAAAATGTAGCATTAATGTTAAACAAGTGATATATAAATATATAATATTGATAAATAATTAAATACAGGAGAATTGAATTATTGAAAAGATTACAAAAAAATACTGAGTATGTTATTAAATTACTCAGTCGTTTATTTGTATGTAATATTTGTTTATTAATATCACCCAGTATGATTTGTAATCTTCATCAAGGAAAATGAATATAACGTATCGATTGTTCTTATTTTGGTAATAGTAATATAAGGAAAACTGAATGAAACTTATATAATTAGGAATGAAGGTATAGGAGTGGATTGCAACTGAAATACATAAATTAAATAAAAAGAAATATACGACCATTGAACCAAACACAAATCAGTTTAATTCTCAAATAAAACATAATATTTGTTATGTTATATAATAATTAAATAAATAAATAAATAATCGGTGGTAGTAGTAGCGTAATAACTGGTGGTGGTTACGTTGATGAATAGTGAACAAAAAAATTGGCAAGTATAAGCATTATAAATTTTGTTCGATTTCATTACCAATTCAACTTATAATCTTGAAATAGCTATAGATATTATGCATAAACAGTTTTCTTCGTTTGAATTAGTGACAGAGAAAAGCGATTTTATTTTTCACCTCCGTGTAGTATGATACTTTGTTTTTTTTTTTTCTATTACTTTGTAGTCGTTAATTAGATGTAAATGTTAACTCTGTTGTTGTTAATCAAGTTATTATAAAAAGTGTAACGTGTTTAAAGGATGTGTAAGTAAAGCGATAAAAATTCTAAGTGTTATCAACTACTTCACGACAAGAGAGACACAAAATAATAATAATAATAATAATAATATAATTGCGACAAGTAATCTAATTTTAATAATAAGATAATAAGTACGTAAATAAGAAGAGAGTAATGATTCTAAGTGAATGGCAATAATAATAGTAATAATAATAAAGATAATAATAATAATAATAATAATGATGATAATTAATAATAATAACCAGAGTAAGGAGTCAAGAATTTGAGGAAATAATGATCCTTATTACATAAAATGAAAGAATTTAATGATTCAACAATGAAATGATTTGACATCGATAAAATATTTAATCAACTAATTTTATATTCATTCGTTGATTCATTAAAATTCTTTTTTTAAGTATTTTTCCTTAAATTTTTGTTTTTCATTTTGCACTTGGTTCATTAGTAAGCACATTAATGTGCATATCTCACTCTGGTAATGATAAATTAAAGAAATAATAATCATCCTATATGCTAATCAGGCGACAACACCAATAGTACGTGGTTAAGTAAATATGTAAGTGGACACTGAATGAATGATTGAATTATTTAATTAAAGTACTATTTAATTAATCAATAATAATAATAATAATAATAATAATTAATAATTAATAATAATAATAAATAAAATAATAAAATTATTTTGAAAAAAAGGGGGGGATCAACCGTCCCACAAATGCTGTTGTTTTAGCTTGCTCACTTGATTTTATTTATTTATTTATTATTATTTAATATTTAGCTTTCATAAAGTGAGCTTTATCGAGGCGGAATCAAAAAAATCCGCACACGAGGACTAGACACATAGAGGTACATATAAATAGGACACGATATACATTATCTCACCTACAATAATAAACCATCGAGTTCTTTTCTACTTTTTCATTAATTTCTTACGTTTTGTTTTTCTACTTACTATCCTATCGACTATCAAAGTCTATCAACATCTTTTCACTTTTATTAACTTTTCTCTTTTTTTTCTCATTCTCTCATTTATTTTTCTCTTTCACACTCACTCATGCTTTCTCATTCTCTCTCTCACTAATCCTAAGCTATTTTTTTTCTAAAAAAAAGTCAGGTGACTCATTGTCACGTTGCACGTAGACTAGACGTATCCTCCTCGATTAACGGGATCGTCAATTTCATATTACATACAAAACCGATATTTTTTTTTCTGTTTATTTAAATAAACAAATAAAACAATAAATACAATAAATATTTCGGTAGAAAAAATTTTTTCTACCGAAATATTTATTTAATTTTCTCTTCATTGCCACAGCTATCGAGTCAACTCGAGTGAGCTTTGAGCTCGTTTTAATTTCTACTACTACCACTGTCTCACAGTTCATTATTAAGAATAAGAGATTCTGCATATATAAACTGTTCCGATCGATACGATCAATCCACACATAACGAGCATGAAGAAAATTTACGGATTTCTTATCTGCTCATAGGAATAAATCAAAGTTGATTAATCAGACATCAAGGCTTACAGTCGAAAATTCATTAAACAGATTATATATAAATGGCTCAATTGATTGTATATTTTAATTAATACGCTATAAAATGTTTATAATATATATATATACTTTATTTATACATATATCTGATATATTTATAGATCTTTTGCGCTGTGCGACAAAAGTATTATCATTATTATTATTAAATCGATTCATTTTTATCGTTATTGCAAGTGGCAAGCGGCCTCTAAGAACACAGGTTGACTCGATTGCTGTGTCTTAAGTGACATTTATTTAATTGATTCTTACTTTTTTTTTTTATCGGTCACTAACCTGTCCCGTTTAACACTCGCAAATTAACATCTAAATGCACTAAGTACTTTTGTTTTGCACGAACGCGTTGAGAAATGAAATAATTAACATGACTAGTACAGTGATAAAATAAAATCAGCGACAGTGGTTTTCAGCAACGAATTATTACGCGTAGTTGCCAGACTCATGTAAATAATCAATGAATAGTATCATAATAATTCATAAAATGTTACAAAACGTGTCTTGACAACTAGAAAATATTTGCTTAAAATAATCAATATTTTCTTTTAATACAGATACCGGTGCGCTTTTGTATGTGTGTGTGTCCCTCTCGATTTTATTCTACAGATTCGTACCATCGACGGCCAACAAGAGCTTGCTATTATTCCTCATCATATTTCAATAAAACACGCGTCCTACGTTTAATAATTAGACCTTAGATCGGCTCTGATCGCGAAATATTTTAATTAAGTACACATCGGCCGCGCGGTCATTGTGAAAATCAGTTAATCTTCTCATTTCATTCGTACTAATGTTAATTCACCTTAATTATGTGCGAGCCCCGACCCAAATTATCAGTTAATTTTTCGCCTTTCCTCGGCTTTCATTTGTTTATTAATTTATTTTCTTTTATTCATCATTATTATTTCATCTATTTATTCCTGTTTTTTCCCTAAATTCACTTTCGTTCGCTTAGTAATTGTTGAATCATTCATTATCCAAGTACTTGATTGATTAGGAGACAGTTATTATTACTAATGTTCAGACTGACTGTCTCTACTGTTTCACTTATGAAAAAATAATTACATTAATTAACCATCCTTACGCGCATATTAAAAAATGATTACTTTAATTATTTTTTCATCAGTGCACAATTATTTTGTAACTATTTTGTTTTTAGAATGATCTTATCCTTAATCATAAATGCTCACTCATTCCTTCGCATATTCTTTCTCACTCTTAACGTTAAATTACAATAATCTAAAACTTATACATAAACGAGTATGTATAACTAGGTATTACGCAACTTTTAAGGATATGCAAAAAATACAACTGCACTTTTCTTTCGAGTCGTTGAATTATAGAAATGTTTATGAATGAATATCCTTAAATTTATCGACATCAGTAGTAGTGTTATTTTTTTTTTTATTCTTAACTTTTATAATTAACATTAATGGTCAATAATATTTTCTGAATACCCTTATTTTTAGCGTATAATACTAGTATGTTACAAGAAAGATCACGGCTACAATGTTGCTCTTGCTGATCCCTTTCGTCTTTTTGTGTTTGTTTTATAGCAATCTCCAGCTCCTGCGTGACTTTTCTTCTTATTTAATTCTCTTTTAACCAGTAAATACATATATATATATAAATAATAATAATATGTATATACAGATTTAGCAGGTGGCAATAAACCAAACAGGATCAGTAGACGTTGCTTCTTTTTTTCCTATCTATGATAATCTCTTCCATATTTATTTCCAGCGTATCTTTCTTTGACTATTTATCGCACACATTCACATCATTGATCACTTCTCCGCAGTTCAAGTCCACTCTTTCCCTCGCACGTGTCACAAACGTCACGAGAGAAAAAGAAAAAAAAATTATTCGTAATTTTGGGGCGGTTATACGGACTCACAGTCGACGACTCACAGCACGTGTTTCCTTAAAAACTCCTCAAGTCCATTTTTTTAAAATCCAACGTTGCATCATTTTTAATTTTTCCTATTATTATTTTTTCTTCCTTACTTTTACTCCTTATATTTTATTAATCTATTTTTTGTTGATTTTGTCTCTTATTAAACAACAACCCGCTGCTGTAAGCCTGCGGAGAATTTATCGTTAGCGCAGATTACGTGGAATAAAACTCTGCAAAAAATGTAGCTTCATTCCCAATATCTGCCAGTGTTTACACTACATATTTTCCAAAATTCATACACACAATAAAGACATTCGCTCCTAATACTCGTTTAATTTTCTTAACCAAACTACACCTTATTTGTCCTCAGTATCTGCTGGTGGACTTTTTTACTGGCTTGTGCTGTCCCTAAGGGTTTGTCCTTTGTATTGAACAAACCAATGGTTCTCTGAAGTTGCTGAAGATGCTGGTAATGTTTATGATGCAACTGAAAATGCTGGTAATGTTTATGATGCAACTGAAAATGGTGTTGCAGCTCATCCCAGTAGGCCTTGACTGCGTCATATCGTCGTCGCAACTCGTCCTCTGTGACAGCTACCGAGAATAGATGTTCGTCCGGATCCTACGCCGCCTTGCTCTTGTTCGTCTTGAAGCTTACTTGAAGCACTCGCGTTCCAAGATTATATCCGTTCAGACTCTGGATAGCTACGACTGCTTCTTCATAATTTGTCATTGTAACGAATCCAAAGCCTTTACACTTGTTGGTCTGCAGATCACGAATCACTTTGACCGATTGCACGGCACCAAATGGACCAAACAGTTGCCATAGCACGTTCTCCTCAGTCTCAGGAGCTAAATTGTACACGAAGATACACCACCCACTGCCGCTCATTGCGTTACCGGGTAGCATTGAGTTTGTCAAGAGATCTCCTGCCAGGGGACTGTACCTGTAACATTTTTTTTACACCTCCTGTTAGTTTTATCTATTAATTCTTCAGTTTTATTGCTTTGGTGTCTTCTATTCATAGCAATAAATCATTTTCTAAAATTTCATCAATTACTAAATTCAAATTAATTATTTAATAATTGCTTGAATAAAAATTATGCAACACCATAGCAATTTGAGATTGATGTCAAATGAAATTTTGAATACGATAAATCCGGAAACAGCGAGAGTTTAAGCTGTGATGACTGAAGTTTACCCGCGAGTGTCTGTCATTTTAGTGTCTTCAATTATTTTTAGCTTTACACTACTATAGTTAAATATCTACTCTCTGACATTTATGAAAGCTGATTTAGCGATGCTGCAATCTGATGCCAAGATGTGAATTCACATGTATAATACTCAAACACTCGCTATTTCATCTGGGAATATCTACTTTATACATTTCAATTTATTATTTTATTATAAAATATTATATTTATGTGTCATTTTTTCGTGATACTTGTTTATAAATTATTCACAAAAATGCCAAGTGTTTGTTTAATAAATTGAATAAATAACGATCAACTAAAAAAGATAATATTCAAAATATACTATGTTATATTTTTTAAATATTTCAAGCATCTTCAGTTGAAAAAGCTCGCAGTTAAAAGGATAAATGAGTCTATTAAAACATAAATAAAATTTAAAAAAAGCTCAAGTATCATAAATTCATGCATCAATTTCATTTATGAAATATGAGATACAGAAAATGAAGAAATTAATTTATTATAGATTAATGATAATGAAAAAAATGATAACAAAATATATTGTAAAGATAATTTAATTTTTTTCTTTTTCTATTATCAAAAGGGAAACATAATTACGCGTTAGAATGTTGAGTTTTCATGTCACTGGTGATTGTACGTACCTACTTGACATCACAAGCCGCGTAAAAATAAGGCACATTCCGGTAAATATTCAGTAATATTTTTTTTTTATTACGATAATTTATAAAAATCGCGTTAATCAATTATTTTAATTTCTAAAATAACGGATCATAAAAGAGACTATAGATAATTATAAAAATGTCTTTACAGACAATGTGTAAATTTTTTCCATTCTGATGAATGAAGTGGTGTTTGTAATTAATTTTAAAATTGAATTAAAACAATTAAATGTGTATATATCTGAATGATAATGTGATGAAATGATAAAAATGTGCGCATGTTAAATAGGAACAGGAAAGAACAGAGGCTATATAAAAAGCAGCGGGGTTTCCAAAACGGAAAACAAGAAGCCATATAAAATTGGAAAGGAAACAAGGTGATGAGCTAAAGAAGCCAATGAACGTATGAAAATATTAACGAAAAAAAAAAATACTGACCTCTGTAAGCCTTTGTTAATGGCAAGCATGGCCTTGCCAGTGCTAAAACAAAAAACACAAAAGGACAACATAAGAAAAAAATCATATTTTCAAAAAAGCTGGGCCAAAATGAGGAAAGACTATTTTAAAGCATTCTCTTCACTACTGTGTCGACTGTTAAATTCTTTTTTTTTCTTTTTCATTTGACTACTAGCAAATAAAGCAAAAGAGAATACAAGGGAAGGATAAAGGATTACACTAGCGCTCTATTCTTTGTAGAAAAATAAATTTAATTGTTTTTTTTTTTCTTTTGTAATTATTTTGTTTAAATTTAATAGAAATAATTGAGTGTAAAAATTAAATCTGTTGTGTATTTATGTTTGTGTCTGTTGAGCTTAAAAATTGACCAATTATCTTTAATAAGTGTATCAGGATGATCGCTCGTACACAAAAATGTCCTAAAATACAAGCTCGAACTGCTCTCATGTCAGAAACACATCAAGCAAAAAATTTAACCCACTGATCAAATCATTTATTCCATCAAGAAAAGAATAAAAGGAGTCTTTTAACTGTAAAATGCAAACTCGACCTCGTGCCACTCTCTCTCTTTTAGCTTATCTATGAAGGGAAGTGGAAAGAAAGAAAAGTGGGTGCAGCAGAGGATCGATAAAAGCTCCCAAGCTAAGAGGAGTAAAGAGGTCAGAAAAAATTAGGTGAGTATACGGCGTAAAATAATGTTGGCGTACATTTTTATCTATTTCTTCTTGAAAATTAATTCTTTACTTACTGCAAAAAAATTTCTCAATATTAGTAATGTTATGCTTTAATTTCAACAAAAAAAAAAAGATTGAATACTTTTTTAGATAAAAAAAAAATGATGGAAAGCAAAGCTTTCAAAGTAATGTTTTAATTGGAATGTTTTGCAAAACAATTTACCATGTTCAATCAGAAAGTGGAATTTTTTCAATAGAAAAAATGTTTCTGAATCGGCAGACGAGCTTTTATTTTGGTAGATCTTAAAAAGAAGATCCAAGGACAATTAAAGTCTCAAGATATTAGTCTCATGATTAATAAAAATCATCGAATAAAAAATTAATTGAAATAATGAAAATTTAAATTTTGTTGGGCAGAGCGAGTAGAGGCGAGTAGGTACCTGGATAGTGGCGACAGTGGAATGTACCTGAAGCGGCCAGTCGGATGGTGGATGGGGCCGCCAAATCGACGACTTGCTTGTGGTGTCAAGTAAGCAGCAATTGGTGGTATCGCCTTGTTGTTGTTGCTTGGATTGTTGGCAAACTTGACAGTTATCGGCTCAGTTGAACCTTTTGGTATGGTCCCATTCAGCTCCTGGATGGCCCTCTCAGCTTCCACACGTTGGTCGAATCTTATGAAGCCGACACCTTTTGAAAGGCCTGCCAATTTCATCCCGTGTCGAACATGGATATTTTTTTTATTAATATTAAGGTCAAGCAAGGTATTATTAGTATGCTAGAGGTTACTAGGATCGACTTATCAATCTACAAAAATTAGTTACTGTTGCCAGAAGATTAAGTTCAATCAGTCAAGTGAATTGCTCTATCATTACTGAACTTAACAATATTTTTTATTTAATATAGAGCTTTAGAAAAATTATTTAATTTGAGCAACAATACTTAACAATAACTTGCTTTATTCAACCTGGTATTATGAGTTTTATTCATTAAAATAAAACATTTAATTGTTCTTCCTTCAAATTTGCATCAAAATAGTCATTAAAAACTCTAAAAGATGTTTCCTTATCTACAGACTATTCTAAGGAATTAAATATTCGTGAATAACTTTAACTACTTAATAAGAATGCATTCTTAATACATATTAATTAATAAATATTGCCTGTTGTGCGTTAATTGAGCTATTCACTTTACCAACTAAATGTTGATGTTGACCATCTTCTTGATATGTAAGTGATTAATAAAGTTAGGTAGCCAGGGCTTGTTAGTGATCTCTATATCATGCTAAATGGATTTACTCAAAGCTGAGTACATTTGTTGTGTTATCCTAATGAGGAACTTCTCGTGATAATGTGTTTAATTATCCACGGAAGCATTAAGCTTAAGCCAGAAGCTGATGAAACAACACAACTGGTGTATGCTTCGAGTCAACAACTCTGGTGATCAAGATTAACTTCCTCAAGGTATTTTCAACATTTGGAAAATACAGCACACGTGGATAGAGTCAGGTTCTTCAACAGGATTACACAAAAATAGTCGTAAGCAGCTGGTGGTCATCATGAGTTAATGACTAAAAGACTAGATTAGAGCCAACCAGAAATCTACTAGGCTTTCTTCTACGTGCTAATTTATAACTTTATAAGGTATCGTAATCTCTCTATTGTAAACAAAATTTTCACTTTTTCGATACAATTATCTAATATTATAGATGCCTACCAACTGCTACGAATTTTTAATTCAAATGTACCCAAAGCTATCAAAGTCTATTTTGTTTTTCTTCAATTTGGACATTTTGTTTCCAATCAACTGATTGTTGAACAAAATTATTAGTTGGTATTTATTATATTTAATAGTTTATCTTCACTTGAATTACATATGATCTAATACTATATTTGACATAGTGAAGATTTTGATGCAACTGATTGCAAAGAGGGTGTCCGAGCGAGTGGCTCGGTGCGCGATTACATTCATTCTTTTAATAGCAAACGGATAATTTTGATAAGTCAATTTGTTGTTAATATAGTAGATAAGGGCAAGGATTAAAAAAAAAAAAAAAGACAAAATATTGAAAATTAGTTATTAAAGTAAATTAACGCTAATTGGCAATTAATTAAATTATAACTAGAAGGAATAATGTGATTTAGGTTGCAATATTCTGAAATGGGTTCATTTAATAATTTTATCATAGACATTAATTATTATTACTATCATTATATCATTAACTATAAATTTAAAAAAATATTATTGTTTAATATTCTAAAGTCCCTTAATGATAATAATTATATATAATTAATAAATAAAAAAAAAAATGTCCTGTTAATGTAATCTTGTATTTGTATGCGTGTGCGTTTAAAACGCGTTGCAATAATGAATAAAACGAATGAACCCAAACGAAATTTCTGTTCAACTAAGGTGCAAGAGAAAAAAAATAAAAAATTATGATTTACGTACCGGGTAAATTGTCTCCACCGCCAGTCACATACTGTCGTACTAAACAGAAACGAAAAAAATCATATTCTCGTTAAAATTAGCAAAACAGCGAGGATACGTAATAAATAGCCTCTGATTCGATGCTCGATTTTTTTAAGTTTTTTTTTCAATCAAAAAGAAAATAAAATAATATTCGATTAAGCAAAGAAGCATTTAATTGATTCTATAACCATCAAGTTCTCATTAGTTTCAAATACAAATAAGTAAAAAAAAATCAATCACGAACCAGAGGTGAAATTTTGTTACAAAATAATACAAATTATAACTATAATTTTCACTTAAACATAAATGCGGTTTCACAGGATTTTTTTTTTTTTCAAAGGAATTGTGCATTAATTATTGTAATAATTTTTTTTTTTTTTTTTAGTTATCAAACTCAAAAGAATTAAAACGCATCTTTCACTACTAAAATTAAGGAAATTAAGGATTAATATTTTTCTAACTGTTAGTTAAATCACGAAAGGATAGAAATGGATGTCGCAAAGCTGTGTTTTTATACAAAATTAACATCATTAAATATAAATTATACAGACAGATTGTATAAAAACGTAACAGAGCAACAAAATAAGAGAATAACAGAGGTCTGTGTAAACTGTGTATCAGTCAAAATTCAATTCAGGTTTTCGTACTGAATTTTATATAAACACTTTAACGATTATATGTTGAACAAATATTTAACACTTATATATTTATTTTAATACACAGAAATATTTTTTTTACGGCCGAAATATGATTGAGAGTGAAGCGCACCGATCCACCCTCCTGTTCTTGATACATAAAGTACATAGAATTATTTAATTACACAACATCTTAACTTAAAAGTTTAAGATTGACTATTTCGTGCAAACAATTTATTTTAGCCGTTTCAACGACATGATGCATTCTCTCTTGACACTATTTTCTTTTTAGAGTATAAATAAATACACAAATACATCTAATTAATTTAATTATCAATATTATTTGCAACTTACCGCTCATGTTATCGCAAAGAATTCGCGAGGTAATTATTCTTCCGAAAGGACTGAATAGATTTTCTAAATCCTGCTGTGTCATATTTTTTGGTAGACCACTGACGTACAAGTTTGCTCCCTTGATAGCTTCACTACTTGGTCTGGCATATGAGACCTAAAAAACAAATAAACTCATCAGGATTTATTGTTTAGATTATTTTTTAAAAAAATATTTAATAATAAAGTTATACCTTAATTGTCTTATTTTGTAATCGTAGACCATTGAGAGTGTTGATGGCTCTCTCAGCATCTTCTGGTCGGTGATAATTGACAAAACCATAGCCCAAACTTTGTCCTAAAAGCATAGACAGCATTAATTAATATAAAATTATAAATTAAAAAATAATTTAATAACTTTGTGCAATAATTTTAAAATTATTAATGACATGTAATATAGAAAATTGGATTCTGATTTTCTGGATTTAAAAACAGAGTCAAACTTCAAACTGATTTATAAAGCAGTGGATAGATTTGACAGATTGACGTGCTGACAATCTCATTCGACATACGGAATTTTTTTATCCACGTACGAAAATTGCCAATCTAACGCGAGTATTGAAATTTTCCTAGTCATTTTCAGTTGGTTAATGACCCAAAGTTGGTATCTGTGTTCTGACTTTTAAAACTTTTGCAATAATAGTAATCATTATTACAATCGAATAAAAGAGATATTACTTGTAGGCATATTAATGAAATAAATAAACAAAATGGCCTGGTACTTTTGTTGGCAATGTTTATTAAAAATGGACAAATTGATGTGTGAGGCAACCTGAAATACACAAGCCTGAATCCACGTTGCCAACATAACTATAAGTTACGGGTATAAGGCGAGGAAGCTTTGATCCAAGCAACGCCCCCGTGCTTTCTAGACAAAAATAGAGTCTACGACTTTTACAAGCACACATACGGATTCATGCTAAATTTTAAACCTTTCTCACTTATTATACCCTTTCTCTCATTCTCTCTAGTGTATTTCAAGTGAAAATCCAACGGGCGTCTGATAATTTTACGTCTTAACGCACTTACAGTAGCTGCGGAATTTCGTAAAGATGACGTCGATGATACACAGTCGTTTAAATTTAAATAATATACAAAAATAAATAAATAAAACATTATTATTAACTTTATAGTGAATATGACACAATAAAATGAACATTAAAACATAATATCAATGATTAAAAATAATTTTAAAAATAATTCAATGGAGTATAATAAAATAATTGTTAACGAATAAAAGTAATATTTTATTCTCTTCAATGAATTTAATTTATTTAAATATTTAATTAATTAATTAATTATAAAGATAAAAAAAATTTTGATTTTTCCCATGATAAAAAATGTTTATCCTTACCAAAAGAAAATTGTCCCGGGGATAACATATCTCCGGCAAGCGATAAAGCCGCAGTGGAGTCTATAATGATTAAGAAAAAAAGAAAAGAGACATAAAAATTTAACAATTTTAATCAAACTTGATTTAACGCTATAGAACAAAGATAAAGATGAAATAATGAAAACGTCGAAGAACTAATTATATATATATTTATATATACAAGCTGAAGAATGTCCTAAAGTTCCTCAATATATATTTTATTAAGTAATTAATTAATTATTATTATTTACTAACTTCATTTTAACCATCCAGAATTATCCAACATTCTTATATATATATCGTCTATTCTATTTTGTTTTTATTTTAAATCGTCGGTCGATTTAACGATAGATGTGCAAAAGGTGAAGGTTCACAGTTGAAATAAAAATATCTGATATTTATTAGCAATAAAATGAGGAAAAATTAATAAAAACAAATTAACAGGAAATAAATTTATAAATATACATATAATGAAGTTGGTTTTATTTTGTTAATTAAAATGAAAAAATAAATAACACAAGATAGTTTTAGAGAAGAAAGAATTAGTAAGCTAAAGACTGAGGCAAAGGTCTCTCTTTTGGTTTATTATATTTCTTAGTCTTCATTTGTAAACAGTCAAAATTTGTTATTAGTTAATCGATCGCATTCTATTGATTTATTTTGATGACTAATCAACTATATAAGTCTGAGGTAATAGACAGAAAAATTTCCAGAAAAATTATAAAGAAATTTTTTTTTTTGTTGTCACACAAATTAATTTCACTGTCAATCTTATTTCAATGGTCAAGTGGAAAAAAAGAATTCCCTCGAATTTGTTTTGAAATTGACAAGCACGTCAAATCTTTGTGTACTTTCAAATCCAATATATTTATAATCTTGTCTCACTCTTGTCGCTTACGTATCAGAAAGAGTCGAAATAAAAAGAATAGTTGTTGATGAGTAAAATAAAAAAATGTTTTAAGAATAAAATAAAATAGGTATGGAGAATATTTGAGAATATATATTACAAAGAGGCATAGGATGAAATGTAGAGATAAGGATGGTCAGAAAATAAATGAAACTCACCAGTGACTTTATCCCGGATAAGCTTGCAGCTCTCAACCTCCCCAATGCTGGAGAATAAAGAGCGTATCTCTTCCTGTGTCATTGTTTGTGGCAGGTAATTAACGATAAGATTCGTCTTTGATTCCTCCTGTGAGGTTTGACCAGGGGTCGAGCCCCCATTCTGTTGCACAACCGTATCCATTCCGTTTGCCATCATTGCACTCGTTTCACACGTCGTCTAACTACGTAAGAAATCTGCAAATAAATCAAATAAATTCCACTAAATATTTTAATTAAAACATTCAAAATTATTTTCAACTGAAAATCAAATAAATACTTTTTATTTCTTCACATTTGCCAACACACTTTAGGCATAAATATTTATACAAATATTTCTAATAATAGATCAGTTTTGTTTCTGTTTATAAAGTCACACGTTAGGTCATCATCAAGTCCTCATCTATAAATTACAGGAAAAAAAAAGTAAAGAATAAAATTAAACCTTAATTTCTTTGAACTATTGATAATAAAAGTTCTTCATTAGAATCATTCAGACGTTGTGCTGTTAGATGTCAAATTATTCCTGTCTGATTGCATATAATCCTTAAAATACATCCCATTTATTAGTTTTGTCTCTGATAAAATGGCGTTATTAAATATTTGCTCATGTTCTCTGGCATTCCCCCGAGCATCATGTGGAAATGGCATAAATGCATGGGGGTTATATAGATATATAGCAGGATGTCATAAAGCTATGGCTAGAGATGAAAGAACCAATCGGATCACCCAACGAGCGACAAACATGGCTGGGGCTCGCAAAATTGCACACAGCTACCCCTTGCGATCGAAGTTACTGGGGATTGCGCGACTATATACCAACCCCTACGTCCTTTCCTTGTTTGAAAGGGTGGGTCAGTGATTGCCAACATTTCCTTATCGATTAATATCATTTAAATCGTCTCTCTCTCCTATTTAGTAATTTATAAATAAATTTTCAATGCTCTTCCATCATTTTATCAACAACTACCAACTTCACTTTGATAAATGATTTTGAATAAATATTAAAAACATTATTCCATTGAATTAAAACAGTTTTGCAGCAATGGAATAAACGAGACAATTTGTCTAAGTGAAATACTGATGTTTTGTTGATAAAATTCGTTGAAAATAAGGTTTGCTTTTGCATAAATTGAATGAAAAAAATTTGTGTAAATTAATTCAGTAGATAAATGTATTAATTAGGAATAAAAATTAGCAGAAATGAATAATTTATATAAAAAAAAAAAGGAATGAAAAATGGCAACTGAGAGTCACTGGGGGGTACATGGTGAGTTTAAAGGGGCGACGAACCCTGGTCATAGTCATTTAAAAGGCTCCCATGGCAGAGTTCAACCCCCGTAGTAGTACGGAACTTGGAACCACTGCATATGCATGCGATATGCGTGCCAACGAGGGATAAGAGACCGTAGTCCATGGTTGAGGGACGCGGGAAAATATATAGGGGGAGTCTGGTTAGGGTGGTTGGATAGTCTCACAATCAAAGGGAGTCACACAGTGGTTCTGTTTCCGAATATACATACACAGCTGCCACATTTATCAACCGGCACGGGCCACTGACGTATATTTTAATATCATTCCTCTCCCTCACACTTAATACAATCTCCTCAACCACTGCCGCTTCCTTTTCCTTCAACCACTGAGGGCACACTCACATCAGCTGTCGCCTACGAAACACCTTTACGCCCTCCTGAAGATCGAGAACAGATGGAATTGAAGGTTTTTTAATTGAATTATAGATTTTATATTTTACTTTTTTCTTTTTTGTCCTTTTAAATTATATAGGCTCAAGGAAATCATAAATTAATGGTGTACGTTACTATTTTTTTACCTCTAGTTGGAGTTTAAGGAATTTATAGCATCACTTTGGTTGTAACAATTGTCTATCGAAACAGCTGTTTTCAAAGCTACACCAAGAAAAAAGTTTACTGTGAACGAGGATTATTTTTTTTTCAACTCAAAAATTTGAATAGTCGCAATGAAATATTTTTTTTCATCGACATGGTAGCATTTTTTATAAATTCATTCCTGATGGTTACTTGAAATAATAAAAAAATAATTCATTGAAGAAAGACATTTTAATTGTGCTCTATTATTTTGAATAGAATTATCAGAGTTTGGTTTATTCTAGTGTTTCACTGAATGGATATTTTTTTTTTAAAGATTCATGGTGTCTCAGAAAGTCAGAATTTTCTTAGAATTAATCTAAATTTATTAGAATTTATCCGAATTTACTAGAATAGAATACACGAGCTACGTAGATTGAACGATAATTTTAATTTTTTAACCAATAAGGAAAAAGTCACTTCTTTTTCAATTTATTCCGATTATTAACTAACTCCATATAATTATGTATCTTCGTAAATAGGATCACAATCTTGAATCCAATATCAAAAGACGATTTCAAGCAAAATTCAATAAAATAATTTACTTAAAAAATTCCAAATTTTTTTCTATTGATTAAAATTTTTTGTATGACGACAATTTTTTGCTTCGTGCACTTTTAGCATCGATTGGAATATTTCTAAATAAAATCTACATTAACTTTTTAAAAAAAATTAGGTTAAAGAATCTGACATTTTCCAGCTTCTATTTAGAATTAGCTATAAATAAAATTCTTTCAAATATTTGATAAGCAAACACAAACATATTTGCTTCTTTAACTAAAAGTTTAGTCGATAGTTGAATAAGGATAAAGTAGTTCCTTATATCCATTGATGTTTTATTTATGATTATCAGCGTTTAATTGGAGCTAGGATTCATACAGTATGAAACAAAAATCTATAGTTAGCGAAAATGGCGTGTAGAGTAAACCTCTAGTATGTTGATAACTAGAGGATGTGGAGTACAATTCTAAAGCTTGATTATCGCCGTTCCGTATCTTTCGAGAGAGAAAGAGCATGAACTAAAGAGTATCAGTGAGAGTAAAAGAGAAAGAATGACGAAAGAGGAAGAGAGAAAATTGCTAAAGAGTTCTATCGATCCACGCGCACACTCAACATGCGGCATTTTAGAACTCGACAATGCAACCCTGGCAATCCTATTGTTATCCTTTTCAAGAGAGAATTCAACATATCATTTCTACCCCCGCAAAAGAAGCCACTCTACTAGTCTACTTCATTCTTCCATTCAGTATTTTTAATTGTTCTATGTATTCTTTTTATTTTAACATATATTAAAAGTTGAATTAAATAACTCACCTAATACAAAAGACATTAATTATGCTTCAAAAAAATTTACAATGAAAAATCTATTTATTTCACGGATTCTATTAGAAGCTTTTTTTTTTGTCTTCATAATAAACTAGACATTTTATTATTTTAATAAGAAAATTTTCATTTAAAATAACATTGAAAACTATTTTTAAAAAATTAATTAACATCTGACATATAAACGAATGATGTCAAGATAAATTTATTCATTGGAACCGAAATTTGAATTTTTGTTTATACGCCAAAATGATACAGTTATGTATTAAATAGTAATTTATGTAAATATAATTCAGCATCAAAGTAGTTGGGTGTTAAATAGTTTAGAGCCAATCAAATTGGAGTAAAAATAAAGCATTTAAACTTTGATCTTTGTTAATAAAAATGAGCAAAGATTGTGTATATATATATCTGAAAGAAAATATTGATGGTGTTAACTAGATACAATCTTGAAAGTTAACCAGGTGGTCATGGCGACGGATCATGAAAATCGCGTGGCCACCGTCGATCAATAATATCCATGCGCCCTCGCTCTCCCCTCATCGTAACTAGTCTCTCTCTCTCTCTCTCTTCCTTTCTCGCGAATATTCCAAGGGAAACCCCTCGCAACTCGTACGCCCCTTTCCACATATAATACGACAGGAGCTACGCACGCTCTCGTGTCGCACACATATGACGTCCGTGCCGGTTCACTAATACAATGCAAAACCCACGCACAGGCAAACATTGAAAGCTATGTATCTTCTCTTGCGTAGAGACCCACACGTGAATACTTGCGCAGCATAACTTCCGTCTTTAACTACTGTCTTCTTCCTCACTCACGTATTTCTTGTTTCACTAAAGAACCAGTGAACGTAACACGTGTTTTCTTCAGCCCAAAGTATGTGTTCCTTATCATCATTGGCAACGTAACAGCAAAGGAAATAAATTGGGTATAAAAATGTTATTATCATGATAATGATAAATCGATAGACATGTAAGAGAGAAAAGAAGTCTTACCTTAATAATCACAGGTAATTCCGATAGTTGACTCTCACTATTATAAAAGTTCAATTGTAGTCTTATAAATGGTTAATTAATAAAATTTTTTCCTTTCCGAAACTCGAGACTCACCCCCCACCGTGTGGGACGCGTCACGCTCTCACCGCCGCCCGAAACGAAAGGAAAAAATCAATAAAAGTGAACTACGGTGCTTGCGATAAATGAACATTTAGGCAAACTTGCACTCATCACAAATAATGGATTATTCTTAACCACAGCTCTAGATGATATATTTAATATTTCACGTTAATCGATAACAAAATACTAATTGAGGGTATTTTAAAAAAAGAAAAAACGACCAAAGCCCGTCATCCGGCTCTGAAACCCATGCCGTTGTATCAATGATTATAATATCATGTTCTTGGTGATATTTCGGCTATTTTTGACGTTCACCCGCACTTTTCTTTCTCCTTGGATGATCTTTTGATGGAAGCCTCACGTAAAACACGCGTGACAGGCGAAATAAAGACAGTAACTAGACTAAGGAAACAAAGAAACAACGTTACGGGCGGAGGCTGCCTAGAGACTGAACGATATGAGACACCGGGCACTTTGCACGCCAACGAGTCTCTCTTTCCTCTTTCCCCCTCAGTCACCACAACCCGCCGGGTGTCTCCCCCCCCGATAAACCCAACCTCCCTACACTGAGCCTTGGTGCGACCTCCGACGGCATTCGGCGAACTTCGGCCATGCACGATGCATTACTCCATTCCCCTCATTCTCTCTCTCTCTCTCTCTCTTTATTTAAACACCGCTATATACTTTTTCAGCTTCCCCGCCAACTCTTTACATTATCTTCACGTCAACGACGCCACCACGTTTGCTCACGCTTTCTCTCTCGCATATTATTTAATCCCCAGGGTGACACGTGTACCTTCACACGCTCCTGGTATGGTTCCTGACACGGCGACTTCGAAAATTCGCGACGACTCCACGTCGGCATCGATT